TACGCACTCTACCTATCTCGTTTATGATCCCGCAGAGTCCTCGGCGCTCGCGTTCACGCGTGTCCGCGGCGCCCTAAAACCGCGCACACTCTTTTCCTTTAAAGATATATATTTAGCATCACAGGAGCTTCTGTCTCTATTTATCGCCTACTTTCTGCTCTGTTTCGAGCTGGACGACGACTTCTTCCTACACGCCTTCAGATTGTCCAATAGGTATTTGAACTGTATTATCTGGAGCCGCGTGACTGCCGGCTCGGAACATTTGTCCAACCACTTGAAGAACTTCTCGCCATGCTCGATCGCCTCCTCGGTGGTGCACGTCATCTCGCCAGCCGTCTCGATCTCGTCCTCGTCCGGTACCACCATGTCCATGTTCAAGCTCCGCTTCACGTTCTCGTTGTTGTTGTTGTTGCAGAGAACGTTGTCGAGCATCGCCCTCGCCTTGCTCGGCGACTTCTTGGCGACCGGGCTGGGCGCTAGCTGGGTCGGTGTCGACGTTATCAGCGGGAAGCTGCACTGTTTGTACCATTGCCAGAACCACGAGCCGTCCTGCTGATTGATGCTCGGATTGAAACTGGCCGACTGCTGCCCGAGCAGCTGTTGCTGCTGCGTCAGCCAGAGCCACAGCGCCTCGTCCACCTTTTTGTTGTTCCCGCTCACGTTCCCGTCCTTCTTCGGCTTCCCTGAGGACCGTTGCATGCCGGTGTTCTCGTTGGTCTTCCGCGGCGAGGCCGGGATCGGTGTCGACGGCGCTTCCGCCGCTTGCGGCAGGCTCTTTCTGGTGCACGACTTTGCTACCACCGAGTCCATTTGAGCCGGAGCGATTGCTGAGATGCTATGCCTCTTTCCGCTGCCGCCGTTCAGGGTATTCGTCGGATTCCCCAGACAGCTGACGTTACCAGTACTGCTCTTCGTGTACTGCAGCCCGTTCTCCACTAGTCCGACCGCGCTGCTGTGCGACAACGCTGGCGACATGCTCAACAGATTCTTGGCTAGGGTACCGGTAGCGCCGGACAGAAGGCCCAACTGCTGCAACAGCAGCGAACTGTTTTCGGGTCTCATGCCCGCCATGCTGGTCATCAGTCCCACGTAATCGATTTTCGGCTGTTTGCCATCGGATTTCACATCCGCGTCGCTACACACGTCCCCGACGAACGAGGTGCCCGCGCTGGTCACCACCGACGTTTGCTGGTCCAGCTTCGACTTCTTCGCGCAAGGACCCTCGTCCTCGCTGGATAAATTCGCCGATCCCACCAGATTCCCGGCTCCCGTCACGTTGGCACCGGAAGAGGAAGCGGGCGAATGCGCCTCGCTGTCCGGCGTCGACGAGTTCCTCGCCATCCCCCGTATCTTGTGTTCGGATTTGCACCAGCCGCGTAACGTCGACTCCGGGACTCCGATGTCCCTTGCCACCGATGCCTTGCTCTCACCCTCGTGCACCCTCTGTATAGCGTCCATCTTCTCCGACGCGGATAGCGCCCTTAAAGGCCGCTTGCCGGGTCGTGCCGATTCGCCCCTCATTCCGGCGAGGCGACTGTCCTTCACACCCTCCCGCAGACGATCCTCGTACGTGTCCTCCGTGGCGATCACGTCGTCGACCACCACCGCAGCCGCTGCCGCCGCCGCTGCTGCAGCCGCAGCAGCCGCTTTCGGATCTATTTTGGTTAGTTTGCGGTCCCTGGCCCGCGACTTGTCGCGACCGTCCAACAACCGATCAGGGTCGTCGACGTACACGTCCAGATTCGTCGTTCTTAGATCCAGGTTGAACGGTTTTCTGTCCTCGCTTCCTCGTGTATACGATCCTCGCCCCCTCGCGGTTTCCGTCGTTTCCACCGAGCTTCTTCGCCGTACTACCGTTCCTCTTCTTCGTTGACGCGAGAACGGTGACACGCCAACATGCACGCCGCTCGTTCGGTTGCCAAGCCTCTCGATCCGTTCGCGGTTCAGCCAGCCGTACGTCGCCGAGTCCTCGAACGGTCTGTTCGGTGACGCGCGCGAGATGGCGATCGATCGACGTTCACGTTCCAGATCGCGCCATCCGACTATATCGGGGGCCTGCGTGCGGACACGCGAGGAATTCCAATTGCTCCTCCGCGATCGAAAGGACGAGAGCCGCGCGACCGTCGCGTCTCGAAGGGGACGTTACGGAGGGAGGGCTGGGTCGCAGCACGCA